GTGTGGATGTTAAGAAGGCTCTTCTCTCCTGGGAGATGGCTGCGCCCTCCTTGTGGCCATTGTCTGTCCTGTTCATGATCACACAACAGCCGTCCCCTCAGTATGGTACATTCCCTCCCCATTCCAGCATGGTTTGTAAAATGTGGTTGTCACTGGAGCTGGTTTCTCGCCTTGTTCCCAGTGGAGAGATGACAAATCCCAGTGAGGCCTTAGGCAATGGAGGGAGAAATAGTGCGACTGGGGAGGGTGAATCCTACCTCCCCTGTTTAGAGGCCAGCTCAGAAGCAGGGAGCTAGCACAGGCAGAGGCTGAGCTGTCACTGCTTCACCAAAAGTGGAGACCTAGCCTAGACCTTGTGGGTTGTGGGCCACCAAGCGCTTTGGGTTGTGCTCACACATAGGAGCATGGCATAGCTCCATAGAGCAAGGGCATGTAGGCCAAACATTTAAGCATTAACAGATTTCCAGGCATGCCTCCTGGTTACTGCCAAACCATCTGATTGAAAGCAGCGCTGCTTAGTAGTGCAGAAATATCTAGGCACATAGAGTGCCGTGAAGAGGAAGACAAGATTTAAGTTATTCTGGACCCGGATTATTCTTGAAGGGCAATGCTGGGATTTTGTTTTTTCCTTAGCGATGGCTCAGAATAACAAAAGGGCTGCTCTGTAGCTTGAGAGTGCTTTATTTTTATAGCACAACAGTCTACAATAATGAGAGGGCCACTCAGTTGTTTGAGAGCTCTTTATTTCTGTAATGCAATGCAAGAGGTGTGGTGGTTGCTTTGGTATGTCTTTGGGGCAGGGCACGAGGGTGTGTGTGCCGAGATGAGATAGCACTGACGCACTGTGTGGGGCATAGCAAGCCAGGTTTGGCACAGCCTTGCCCACAATCCCTAACTTCTTCTGGAGTGATCTGTCCACCAACCTGCCCCTAAGGTTTTAGCTGGTTCATTAGGTCCAGATCAGAGTTTAGCAACAAGTCGACACATATGCCTGTGGGCAGTCGACAGAGCTTGGAAGCTCTTTATTTAGCTGTCTAGATGCAGCCAGAGAATAGCTGTACCTGTTCCCTCTCTCTGATACATGTCCCCTCTCATTTGCCACTTCTCTGCTAAGAAGAGAAGAGAGCGCTTTCTCCTGGAGCTGGGGAAGACTGCTCAGTCAGCTTTTCTGCAGCACAGCCTGGGCTGCATCCCTAGATCCTACAGGGCCTTAACTTTATTGTGCCATCTGGGCATAAGGCAGTGCTTCATTTTCAACAGAGGGAAGGAGTAGCAGAAACCCGGGAGGCAGTCACAGGAAAGAAACAGTTCCTATAATTTAAACCAACTCAGAATCAAAGCAGCCTATTGACTTATTAATGGCACGTAACTAGCTGGCAATCAGTGAACTGTACATTCAGGATCAAAACTGTGTATTCAGGATCAATATCAGTAATGCAGCAGATTAACCCCAAAAGTAAACGCTTAATGAAATGGTAATAAACACAAATGTCTAAGTGAACCCCAAAGTTTTGATCTCGCACACACCCACACACACACACATCTGCAAGTACATGGGTCCCTCCTGTTGCAGGCAGCATGGGTTACAAGTGCCCACCCCCCTCTCATGGGGACACAGGCTCCCTTACACACCCCTCCTGTGGGAGATGCGGGTGCTCTAGCTTTATGTGTACCCATACTGCTCCCTGCAATCTGCAAATGCACATGCAAGTGAGAAAACCCCGTATAAGTTCATATATTTACACCCAAGTTGCAGGTACGCAGTGCATTCTGTACTGCCAGCCCTCTAGCTGGCTTCTGGCTGCTCCCAGTATCTGGCGAGGAGGTCGTGGGGCCAGCAGGGTGACTTGCCAGTGTCAAACCAGGTTTTGACTGCGGCTGTTTCCACTGCAGTCTTTTCCCCTGTTATGAATTTTCATGCTTCTTTTATACCTCTTTTCAAACGGACTCCTTTCTTTTCAAAAGGCTCTTTGTAGTTCCCCAGATGCTCTTTAACCTGTCTGATGATTGCCTTCCTCTTTAACATGATAAGTTTGGGGCAAATGCCCATTTTTGGGTTTTTGATCCACACTCACGTGCGTGCACATACACAATTTACGCTCACATTCTTCTCTTAGCAGGAGTTATTATCCAGGCTATTTGCTTAGGTTGGGCTGTGCGAGCACTCTCATGCTGCCTTAACCGTTACGGACCTCAGCGAATGGCAGGGATGATAATTCTGCAGTATTTTCTGGATGATCCCCTGTAGCCTACAGGACTCTTGACTAGAGCAGCAGGACACGAGGCTATGTCTCAGCTATGAATGTGTGAACGGCTGCAGATCACTCTCTTCAAGGGGGACACGTGCAGAGCTAGGCTGTAGCTACCATGGTATTGGAGGGGGGCTGACACAGAGAAGGCATAGCTTAATTAAAAGCTGCCATCAGATCATCAGCCTTTTCATGTGATTTTAGGACAACACAAAATTACTTTGCCAATGACACTGTGTGAATTTCAGATAGCATAGGGCCCAAGGCAGATATATCCATTACAGTCCTAGAGTCAGGAAGTCCTTGGGATTTTAAGTGAGTTAGAGAGAAGAGCAGGCGATACTGAGATACTGTGATGTCAGAAACTACTGAAGAACAGAAGTAGATTAGAAATTTATCTCCCATTTTGCCCCAAAAGCCATTGAATGTTTTATACATACAATAAAGTTCCAATCAGGTAGGTATTTGGTGACCAAAAGAAAGTTCACTTTTGCTTTCTATAATACTCTCTAAACAGAAGTAAGAACATGCTTGAAAGCAAGTTGTGGTAGTTTGGCAGTTCTCCCATAAGGTTGGGTAGTATGATTAATTATCTGTGGTTTGTAAAACTCACATTAGAAAGTTAGCTCTTAAAAGTTAACTTGGCCAGTAAAATTCCCTCCAGGCAAAGACCCTGCATCTCCCTTGAGCTGTACCGTGGGAATGGGCCCAGTGTAAGTGTGGGTGGCGTAACGCCATCATATTCTTGAACAAGGACACGTTCTCACAAACGCAACCATTTACTTGTTGTGTTTTGGACACTGTAACTACAGCTCAGCTAAGGGAAAGGATTTTGTGGCAAGTCCATGCATCAGCTGGTGCAATTCCAGTGACATCAGAATGTCTCCTCCTATGTAAAACATAAAGCTGAGAATATCTGAATTTGAATTACCATGCCTGGGAAGCCAGGATGTTCTCACATATTTTGAAATTCAGTGGAATTTGCTTATCCTTGCCTAATAAAATTTTCCCAATTTTTTTAAACCTACCCTTGAGATTTTATGGCCACCAGTGAATTAACTAAAGAAACCAGAGTAAAAGCAATATTGTTTGAGGAAGAATTGGTCATTGTCTATTGAAAATAAGCAGTCCAAATAAAATGACTCTGCTTTTTCTTCCTGATATCTGGAACTTGCACAGAAGGATGTAGTAAGGTCTTCTCATTTCAGATGTGCACCGTTGCAGTTGTACTGCAAATGTTTGAATTTAGTGTGTCATTCATTTTGACCTAGCAGGTTTTGCATTTTTGCACTTTTTTCTCCAGTTTAATATAATTTCAGTGCAAGTACAGTGCACATGCAGTTCTCCATAGCAAATGAGTTGTGCTTCCAGCTCTGCTCATCTCAGCTAGGATATGGGTGGAGCTCTTTGCTTGGAAAATGTTGGTCTTGGGGCATGGTCAGGTAACCAGAAGGGAGCAAGGTAGCATACTACCAAAAGTCAGTTCCTTCAAGTAAGAGGCAGAAGCTCAAAACACGCGGGCTCCCAGGCTGTTATGAACATCCGGGGAAATGGCATAGCATTGCTCGCTGGTTCAGGGTAACCCATTTTATGTGCAAGATGTTTTCTGTATCTCAGCTGAGAGGCTGTTGCTCTTAGTGACTGTCTGAGCACGTCCTCTGAATTCATGACACTTTTGATAGGGTGGTGCTGGGTGCTCCTGAAATGAATATAAGACACGTGGGTGGATTTCTTAGCCTCTTCTTAGCCCCTGGGATAAAGCTACCTCTGTGGCTTCATCTGGTTAAGGGGGAGTTAGGAGTGTCTGTGCGTAAGGGTTTTGTGTTGGAAGCACTCATCCTCTGGAGCAGTCACGTTCCTCTGAACTCAAAGAGGAGTTACAGCCATACAGCACCACTGCCACAGGGTCTTGGTGGAAGCCAGATGAAACGGGAAGGGATGAAACTAGTCTTTGGGGCAAGTAGCAGGTCAACAGAGGGGAGAGGACGGTCCGGCTGTCCGTGCCTAAACTGCTAGCACCAGTCTTTGTCCAGTTTTCCTCTGCTGTTTGTTTTTCCAGTATTCTGCAGGTAGGAGGGGGTATGGCACAGTCTAGAGTGCCCTTTGCCTAGGAGGAGGCCCCTGAGCAAGGCAAGGGATTTCGGTGCACAGCGCTAATTGGGTCTGCCTGGTCTCCTCTCCTTCTCCCGAAGCTTTTTAAGGATCTGCTTAAACTGCTTTTGCAGTCACTAAAATGCAGAGTCTGTGTATTGTTCCTTGCTGCTGCTTCTGTGTGGTGGTCCACTTGGGATAGATGTTCCTCCTTAGCATAGCTGGAAGCCAGTAATACGCACAGGATTGTAATCCAGATGGCCTTTTTAATTTCAGAAGACTAATGTATCCACTGTGTTTTGTCTTGTAGCTCATCTGCTGCCCCATTCTCGGGGTAGCAAAAGTTGTGGATGAGGAGTCTGACTACTTGCACTAATCCCTGCAGAGCTGGGTCATGGAGTCTCAAACAACAGCCACTGTTTTTGTGCTAAACGCTTTGCATGAAGCTGGCTGACTTACAATTTTCTTTAGAAGTTGGGAGGCTATTGACTCTGCAAGCTGGCATTGGGCAGCTGATGTGCAGATATAGCCAAATGCCCTATTCCTGAATTTCTCCTTAGAAGCGGTAATGCCCCGGTGAGCAGAGACGGTACGAATGTTGGTTGGTTATAGAAATGACAACCTGCTAATGACGTACATGCTTACTTTCTTTCGTCTCAGAACATCCCCACTTTGGGAAGTGTAGCAATAACCATGGCGCTCCACAATTGCGATGAGGTGGCGGTAGCTGGCTTTGGCTATGACATGAGCTCACCGAACGCACCGCTGCACTACTACGAGAACATCAAGATGTCGGCCATCAAAGAGGTAAGGAGCTCCTGCCGAGCACGTCTTCCCACACGTCTGCTGACCACCTTGACGGGGTAGTGACAACTTACAGCTTTCCGGTATGGGTCAAAACGCAGCTCCACCCAGCCATTTACCCTTAAAATTCTAGATGTTCTCCTAAATGTAAAGTGTTAAAAAATGCTATTTCTGCTGGGAAAAGTTCTCTGGACTGTATCTATAATATGATTCCTTCTTCTCAGAGCAGCGGGGAAAAGTTTTACGTAAGTGTTAACTGGAGTAGGGTGAAAGGAAACAATTCTGCCTGAGGGTTGAAAAGATGTGACCTGTTCCAGCTTTTTGATCCGTTTTATTACTCTAATCCACACACTTTTGCTAGATGATCTGCTACTCAGCCCCTGTGAAGTGTGGGGGAGGTGAGATTAGCCTGTGCATGTTAGCTCTCAGCTGACTATGAAGCAGCGGTTAACTAGTGTAAACACATCCTTACAGCTCTGCAGTGACTGCTCTCTAAAGCTAGATCTACCTTAGAAACATTTGCTGATACCGTCATAGTGAGATGCGCAGCATTTTTAGAGGAACAAAAGCTCTTGCGTCAGTATAAGGCAGCAGTGTAAAGATGTCCTTTCTGGGCGTCCCTTCCCTGTGTCAAACTTGGACACTGATCTCGGTTGCTTCTGTAGTGGGAAGTTTGCCTGACTTTTTGGTAGAGCTCAGTCAAAGATGTGACCCAAGTCTTTCTAGAAATGCTTCACTCCTTCACTGGCTCCTAGACAGGGGAACCTTTTCTGTCTTCCTCCATGTTGTGAAAAGAGATACAGTCAAAAAGAGGGTTGTTGTGAGGGAGGCAGCACTTGTTCTGCTGTTCATGGACAGCAGCTCTCTCCTGGCACTTACTAGTTGTTCACCTCAAGCACTTCCTCATTGACCCAGGCCAGGAGGCAAGTTGCAAAGCTGTGCTTTTCCAAATTACAAGATTGTACATGCCTCAGGACTCTCACAGACTGCACAGGCTACGTGACTGTAAGCCAATTGAAAGGAATTAGAGATCAGTCATTAGTCAGTTCAAGAAATTAGAAGAGCGTTTGTAATTATCAGAGCAATGAGGCTCTGGAGCAGCCTCTCAGCAGTAGCCAAGAAACCAAACGGAGTTTAGGAAAAGTCTGTGTGAGGAGGTCCCCAGAGATTTCAAGGAACTGGACAATATGATCTTGGAGGTACCTTCTGGGCCTGTGGAGGTAGCAAGAAAGTCTGCCTTGCTCAGTGGAATAACCACATACCCATTTACAGGAGTTAAGGGGGAGCGGGTCAGTGCACAGAAAAGAACTATATTGCATTACTACTTACAGAGACCACATACAACTCATGAAATCGCTAAGCAGAAAATAGGTCAGAAGTATCATTTTTGCGGTAGTAGAGGAGGTATCACATCAGTTTGCCCTGTTCTGACTCTTCCCTGGGCATCTGCTTATGGCCACTGCCTGAGTTGAGACCCTGGGCTACGCAGGACCAGATCTGAGCCAGTACAGCTGGTTCCTTAGTCTTCCAGGAAAGATACAGCTGCACCCGGATGAAACTGATGTAGATGTGTATCTCCAGCACTAGATGCAGAAGCTATTCATGAAAGTTTCAGGAAAGGCTTCTGTCTGTGTGGTGACCATCTGTTCCCTTTGGTGAATTGAATGCCTTTGGTATAGAATCACTCTTGTCCATTTGCTCTTCCTGTCTGTTAAGGACATCCGTCCCACAATCTGCCTCAGACGTGGGGACATTCACAGGGGTTGCCATGTGCTAGGGCTGCACCCCTCTGTTTGCAACTTAGAAGATGTGTCCAGTGTCAAGGACACCTACGCAGAAGCTGACAAAAATGAAGTGTGTCCTCACACATCTTGCTCTGGGCCCTTGCATGGGCCAGTGGAAAAAGACAGCGAGAAGAGCTGGATGCTGAAGTCTCTGGTCTTGTGCTGCAGGGCAGAGAATAAAACGCTAGAAAGTCTCATCTCAGAGCCACGGATGCAAATAACAGCCACAGCCTGGAGCATACTAAAGGGAATGGGTGGGCCGTGGCACTCTTAGTGTTAGTCTTAGATCCACTCACCCTCCCGTGTAAAAAAAAAAAAAAAAAACTGATAAACATTGGCAGGGAACAGAAAAGCTTTTACAAAAGATTTTTCCAAAAACAAATTTAGAGAAAAAAGTCAGGAGGCACCATTGCTAGGGGTCTGCAGAGAAGAGGACAAGCTCTGCCGTGAGTTGGCTTCCTATTCCTCTGTCCCCTCCTCTCCCACCCTCTGCTTTGTTCTTAATTCCTGCCAAGTGTGGTTGTGAACTGGACTCTGAGGCCTGTCAAATCTGAATGCACTTAGTGCTCCTTTTTCAGGGCCTGACGCCCTATCTTTTGGCTCTTGAGAGCTAGCCAGTGGACACATCTTTGAAGTTGCCTATGGATGCTTGATTCTTAAGGTCATCACCCAGAGCGAGATGCAGAAGCCAGTGGAAGGCAGGAGGGAAGCACTCCTGGACACTGTATGCGGTCTCAGGGATGAACCTCACATAGCAGAGGGTAGCAGATGTCTTACTCTGTGGGGATGAACATGTAAAATGCAGCCAGTAGGGACTCCTAGAGGTAACAGGAGAAGGTTTTTATCCTATCTGTCCAAGTTTGATAGTAATAGCCTGTGAAAGAAGTGATCTCTCTGATTTTGGATCTGTTCTAGCTCCATCACTTTTTGAAAGGGCTGATTTTGGCTGTCAGGACCAGAGTTAAGTAGGCCAGGCGGTCAGTTGGTGCCTGGCTTGGCAGGCCACTGCTCTCTATAAGCTGTCAGTCATCGTGTCCAGGATAGTCTGTACAGAGGTGAGGGAGCGTTGAAAGGTTCTGGTGAAGCTTCACTAATTCAGATGTCAGAGGATTTGTTTCTACAGCCAGGGCTGTTGATGAGAGCTCTGCAGGCCAGCAGAGTTGGTTCTAGGAAGAAGGTTCCTGTTCCACCTGAAGGCTGGTTATCTGATATATGTCTGCCCATCTAATCCTCGCATCGTCACCCACAGGCTCGTCTTACATTTTGCTGCCCTGGTACAAGAAAAGCCATCTGTTCCCAAGTATCAATAATTAATGCTCCTCCTGCCTCTGCCCCTCCCAATATGACAAACTGTTTGCGGTATTGTGGAATGTGAAGAGAGGAGAAAGGATTGCATTTCTTCCTCTCCCATTTAATATTAATGGTAGCTGGTAGTTGTTAGTCACCTGAGGGTGAAGTTGAAAGGTGAAGGGCATGATAGTTGGGTTGTGTCTTGTGCAGTTGCCCTTAAAGAACTAATAGATGGAGATCTGCCCCACTCTGGACTACAAGTGTCCAGCGCACTCTGCTCAAAGAGAGACCTGCATGAGATTTGCAAACCAGGAAGCTACTATGCCTTGGCACCTTTGTGCCAAACTTTGTCCTTGGCCCTAATGAAATGAGGCTGATGCAGAGCCAGGCTCCACCAAGGCTTGTCCGTTCCATCTGCTCTGACACCCAAAGACCCAGGAGCATCTGCAACATTTCCTTCCATGTTACCTTTGGACCTCCAAGATTGTGTCCAGGCCTAGCTCTTCCTGGTCCTCCTCTATGTTTCAGGCCTTAAAGGAGCCAGTAAAGCAGTCTGCGCATTGAAATTACGCATGCATCATCTTCGTCCTGTGCCTGGCCTGCAGACCCCTGTAGGCTGGACACAGGAGGGGGAGAAGGTTTGCTTAGCATAGCAATGTTACAGCACCAAAGCAATTGCCATTGGATGCATCTCTTCCATCTTAACTTACATCTCAGACAGAAGCCCTTGCAGTTAGGTGAGGCTTCCGTGGGGCAGAACCTTCATTTCTGAAGTGAAAGCCTTTTCCCAGGGCATTCAGGTGCCCCAGAAGGGGTCTGTGGGTGCTGGCATACTGAGGCCAGCTGGATCATTTGGCACAGTGGACCATTTGAAGCCTTTGGACATTTTCTGTTGCCTTCAGCAGGGACATCTCTGCTGATAAGTAAGCAATAGGGTAGAGAACTGCTAGGAGACGGTCCACGTCTCTGCTCAGCTCTGCCCAGACTCTATGCCCTGCTTGGGCTGAAGAACCAGATTTGTTTAAGCTTTGGGTGCTTTTGTCTTTGAAAGTTCTTTACAATCCCAAAATGGAAAGCGTTAAGGTGGACTGTTGGTAGGGATGGAGACTGCATCCATCTCAGAAGTGGACATTCGGCGTCTGTGGTGGTTCAAAGGCCTACAGCTTCCCTCTGTCTGCAGCTGTGAGAAGAGAGCAGACAGCATGCGGGGTGCAGCCTGGCTGTCTCCCGAAGCGCAGACCTGTCCCAAAGGGCTCTGTTCCCTGAGTGGTGGGCTCCTCCAGCCCAATTGACTGCGAAATCTTCAGTGTTTAAGCCTCAAGAGCAGCTGCAGGGAAACACTCCAGCTCCACCCTGAAACCACCACCGTCTTTACAGAGGAAATGTAAACACCAGCAGCTTCTTGGGTCCGGAGGTGCCACACATGTGTGTGGCTCATGAGAGCCTCTCTGGGAACATCCATCAACCCCCTTCCGTTGTCTTGTGCATCCAGGGGGAATGGGCCTGCAGGCGAAAGTGTGTCCTCTTGGCAAGGTGTGTCACTGATTTACACTTGAGGCCTGCTTGACATCTCCCTGGACACCCTTGAAACCCTGTGACTCATCTCTGAGGAATTTGTACTGATTACATAAAAAAGCCAGCGAAATGCATTCACTTGCTCACAGCTGGGCGGAGATGCCTCTCCCATGCCAAGACTGAGGTGATAAAATCTCTCTGTGGAAATGAATATGATTTTTCCTGTTGCTCTCTGGGACTGGCTGTTGAATTTCCAAGAGGCGAAGCAGGCAGTCTGAGTGTATACTTTTACTTAGTCTTTGCTTTCCCCGCGGAGGTAAAAGCCTTCAAGGTCCAAAGTTGTGCTGTTATTTGCTACCACAGGAGGCAGCTGCCTCAACATTATCTTCCAGCATCTCAGGCTCCCAAGGGCTT